GAGAACAGAAGGTGAAAGCAAGATGCTTCGGAACCGGGCGCTTGTTTGAGGGTCCCTTCTCTGAGGATGAGGCGTCCCTGTCAGAGGACTGGAGGGGGGCGGGAGCTGGACCGTGAGGAACCCCCTTTCCGACGCGCGCCGTGTGTGGGCTGCCGCGGTCCCTCTACGACCCAGCCCTGCCGCCCGGGCACCGCAGAGGGAGTGTGGGCAGGTGCCCGCCGCCACGCAGGCCTCAGGGCCGCCCAGCGAGGCCCTGCGAGCCGTCGAGGGTGGGGACCGCGCCCTGACCGGCAGCCCGCTGTCTGTGCCACAGGAGGAAGAGCCACTCGTCCCCCCCACAGAGCGTGCTCTGGAGCCGGCCGCTGCCCGCGGAGGACCGCCCGCTGTGCCAGCAGGGGCTGGTGGAAGCCAGGTCTTCCAGCTCCTCGTCCTCAAACCATTCTGACAACTTTTTCAGGATGGGTAGCAGCCCCCTGGAGGTCCCCAAACCCAGGTGAGGAGCGCCGAAGCCCTGAAGGGTGGAGGCGGCCGGCAGATGCCTCCGGCGGGGCTCGGCCCGTGGCGCTGGCCCACCGCTATTCGGGGACGTGCGGAAGTTGGGGTGCAGAGCAAGAGCTGCTTGTAGAATGGTTTGAGGCGCCTCTTCCCTGAACTGGCAGACGGGGCCCGGGGCGTCGTGGCTGTGTGCTCACGGACCCGAGAGGCGTCCCTCTGGCTCCCCGCCCCTGCGTGACGCGGGCAGTGAGGACAGGCAGCGAGCCAAGCTAGAGTGGCGTGGGCCCACGGCGAGCCCCCAGGAAGGGGGGCTCTGCCGGGCTGGAGGGTGTGGCTGGCCTGCGGGCCACGCGCCCCAGGGCCGGGCAGGCGGAGGGGGCTGGGCTGGGGGCCGCCCCTCGCTCCCTGCTGTGCCTTTCCCTGGTCCCCACTCCACCCGCCCCCCAGACCCTGGGCGGCTCTCTCTCCTGGAGCCTGAGGGGAGCTGGCTTGCAGGTGGGCCGTGGGGGCGCCGGTCAGCCCCGGGGCAGAAAGGCCAGCGCCAGGGTCTGCCCAGCTCCATCCTGTGCTGCGCCGGGATTGCGGGTCTTTGTTGGTGCGGGGAGGAGACTGAACCCCAAATTGGCGGTGCGAAGATAACGAGACTTCTGAAATCCTTTCATCCCCTCCTCTGGTTTTTCTTGGGCGGCAAAAGCAGACACTGGGGGAGATGGGGTGAGCGCCCCACCCCCGTCGGTCGGCCGCACACCCCGCTGGGCTCGGCCCGGGGCTGGGGCGTTGGGAGCAAAGACCCGCCCG